GGAACAAAGAAGCACACACAGACTCAAAGGTGCTATGAAGAGCCATAAGAAACTGCAATAGCCGCTGATGATTCCTATGAACAATAAATAACTGTGCATCCTCAGAATGTGCCCAAGTACGTTCAGAAAGAGCTAACTGGTCCCAAGCAGATGACATCTAGGATAAAAAGTCATTGATGGACTGACCAGGCTCTTGGCGCATGTGATGAAGAGTTTGTAGGAGTTGATATTGGTGAGCATGTCCGGTAGTCTGATAGCATTCGTTCAAGAAATCCCAAATTGCCTTGGCAGGAGAGACAATGAAATCATCATCCTCAAAGTGTCCACATTGAAGGCTAATGGAAGGAACAGAAGTAGCCCGAAACCATGTGATAATCTGGTAGTTCTTCCATTTCCATTCATCAAGACGCTCATCGAAAGCAAATATAGTCTCTTTTTTTTCCTGGACAAGTTTAGAAAGAGCACTAGTGATAATACGCCAAAGCCACTTCCCTTTGATGAATCCAGAGAGAGTTTGGGCCCAGAGAACATAGTTGGACCCATCAAGTGTAATGGAGACTAAATGGATGTTGTCAAAACGATTCCTGATGCTCAAACAGGGCCCAAAAAAAGGTCCTTTGTAGAGGTTGATTTTGCCAAAACAGAACACACCAGCAGATTGGGATATGGTCTGAAACACGACTAGAAAGGCAGTGAATCGGCTGGTCAAAGTGGTTTGACCAATCTGGTCGACCAGAACTAGGGCTGACAACACAAAAAGGGGGTTGACGTCAAAAACGTGCGACGCACGTTAGCAGAGGTGTGCATGGTGCATGATAGCAAGCAGAGCAGCAGTGGCGCATGGGAACCAGGGCTGACGTCAGTGATGACGTCAGAAACACACAACTCACGTTAGCAGATGAGGCCACGGCGCAAGATAGCGCGAGACAGGAGCAGGAGGCGCGTAGGGCGCGTGGGAAAGCGGCACAGCGCGTGTCCAATCTTCGAGCGGTGCGTGGCAGCAAGCGGGGAGTTGGATGGAGATGATTCTTGTGGCGTTGGCTTCGTCTTGAAGAGACAAAGAAGTTGGTATAGTCCAATCGTCGAAACAGGAAAGGACTAGATACGCAGAAACCAACGTGAGAAGGAATCAATCTGCCAGACAAAAAAAAGAAAGTGATAAAGAAGAAGAGGAGGTTAGGAGAAAACCCCAGGCTCTGATACCATGTTATGAAAGTAGAAAGAGAAGAGAAAAGAGAAACTCTTGTATTCAATTTAAATAATGAATAGGTACACACTCCTTATATAGGAGAGAAGGTAAGGTATATACAGAGAATATACTATATTTAACAGAGAGAAAGAGCAAGCTTTGTATTGCTTTGCTGCTGGTGTGTACTACAATTGAGGAACTATTGCCTTTATAGGCATAATTGCCACCCCTCTCTATCCAATGAAAAACAGCCCATCTATCCTGAAGTTACTTCCAAAGGATTTTACAAATCTTACACATACATGAACCTGAGTAATATCAGATTGTATGCAAGTTGTTTAGTTGGCAACCTGCAAAACTTATTTACAAACTACCCAAACAAAAAACATTATTACAAATTAGTTATTTAATTTTAACAAAAGCAACTATACCTACAGCTGCAAACAGGTCAGTTATACAGTGTCCTTTCAACAGTCTAAACAAAAACTTAAATACGTCTTTAAAAATAAAAAATAAATAAATAAAAAAGAAGAAGAAGAAGAAGAAGAAGAAATGAAGTTATGGTGCATATCCATATACGTATGTCATTGAACAAACTAGGACTGTCCCTAAACTACTAATCACAAGCCATAAGCAGACTTGAAAGTTTCATCTACCTATTTCCCTGTTTGATGGGTTTTTTGGATGCAAGACTCCCTCAATTCTATAATTATCAGCCAATTTTCACCACTTTTATTCTTAATAGGCAGTTATCTCAATTAGGAAATCAGTGTTGGTTCGAGATTGACAGCAACCACTTGTGCCTTCTGTCTCCAATCTTACCCCCAAGCGCTCTTGATAAACAGAGACTAACACTAGGTAATGTCCTTATTAACGACAATAATCAAAAGAACCATACAGCAGTGTCAAGTATTCTCATCCTACGAGAAACAGTCAATCAAATTATTTTGCTATCACAAATAGTAAATATGGAAATTAAGTTGTGTCGACTCATAATATTTTCTTGTTAATTGCTATAAATTGGCATGCCTACAGAAAACAATATGCCTTTTTTGGTAGTAATTACCTAGCTGCACCACTGTTTTTAAGGGCAAAGCAAATCATACAAGGTCTCCTAAGGCCTAACCTCAAGGCAAGAAGTGAGGCAATGGCTTCATTGAAGCAAGGCAAACGCTAACGCTGTGTTTGGTTGAGGAATTTGGGCAGGAATTCAGAAGAGAGAAGGGAAAAAGGTGTGTGAAACTAGGTGAAATGTAAATATATGTTATTCACATTGTACCTCCGTTTTCCATTTCTCTTTCTAAATACTTCAACCAAACACAGTGTAAGTAAATTTTTTTAAAACTAAATAGCATACAAAAACTCAATAATTCCAAAAAAACATGACGCATCCAGCATTCCAGATACTAGATATCTATAAAAAAAAAAAATTAAAAACACATAAAACATTCAAAAAAATCCAAACATTTGACAAACCAATATCCAACAAAAACACAAGACATCCAACAAATACAAAAGTTTGAATGTTTGAAAACATAAAAAAGGAAGAAGAGTTTATTAATTGCTCAAAAAATAAATAAAAAAAATAATAAAAAAAAATCAGGATTTGACCTTTGTAACAAAATGAACCCTGATTTTTAATTTTATTAATTTAAACTGTAACCTTTTGATTTTTTTTAATGTAAACCATTTGCATATTTTCATTAGGTAAAACCGACAGAAAAGAAGGGTTTTTAATCATTAAATTCAACAAAAAAAAGTATATTTTAGACATTGTGTACACTTTATTGAATTTAATGATTGAAATATTCCTTTGATATCGATTTTACTTGACGAAAATAAGCAAATGGTTCATATTGAAGATAAATCAAAATATAAGAGGTTCACCTTGAAAACAAATCAATATATTAGGGTTTAAATTGACAAAATTAAAAATTTAGAATTTATTTTGTTAAAATGATCAAATATTGGGTTTTTATTTTTTATTTTTTATTTTCTTGGTAATTTTCCCAAAAATGAATTTGTCCCCATCTGTGGCCCAAGTATCAATTGTTTAGCCAAAGTGAAAAATAAATAAACAAAAATTATTAACTTCACCCAAAAAAAATTAAATTAAATTAAATTAAATCAAATTAAAAACAAATAAAAATAAAAAGATGCAGCCCCTAGTCCAAAGCTATGATCTAGTGTACTACAGCCCCGAGCAGCTCAGCTTGGCCTTGTTGAAGTTGTCTCGCTTCTCGCCTAGGTCCTAACACAAAGTCTAAATGAATTCCACAATATTTTCTAGGAATAGATATTACACATTTTGACTTTATATCTCATGCAAATCTTCTAGGATCTACATAGTGTATGATAATCAGGTTCATTATTTAGATGAGATGTAATTGAAAATCTTCATATCAGAAGTGAATCCCTCTAGAAAAGTGACATAATCAATCGTCAAATTCATATGACAATACATGTGGAGAAAAGGAATATTTCTATTAAAGAAAGCATACATAGCAGATATGTAGAAACAACAGGCATGAAATGAACTAACAAGATTTGAAGAAAAAAAAATAAAAATTGGTAACTTCTAGAAGCGAGATTACTACACCAATGTAATAAGTTGTGTACCCATATCTCACAAAGCATCTATGTCACATGGAGTCTTCAAAACGAATCAAATACTTGTGTTAGATACCCAACACTTCAATAAGGGAGTGAGATATTAGTTTGATACTTTCTATCAGACACTTCTTTTATATTTGTATTTAACAATATCATTATATACATGTTTGTGTGTATATAAATTATTGCATAATTGCTATAAAATGAGTAAAATGTCTTTCTAACATTGTGTGTTAGAAACAACACCATTTTATAAATAAAAAATATATAATTTGACCCTTTTTTGCAGAGTCCGCATACTTTTAAATTTGAGATTTGATGGGTCCGACCTCCAGATATATACTTGCACCCACACCCGAGTCCATGTAACATAGCAAAACAGAAACCATTGCCAGAATTCTTTGCATTCCATACCAAATTAATGAGAGGAAATAGCACATACAAAGAGAAGGCTGATAAGGATCCTCACATATAGACAGTCACCACGCGCTATTTACTTTTGAAATCTAATATCGAGAATCTCATTATCACATCAAAAAACTGATCTTAAACTCCTCAGCAGTTCATGTATTTGAATCAATGGTAATTTTCTTTGTTAGTGAAAACTACTCTGATATCTAAGATGTCTAGTAAACATGTTATGCATCATAACACAGTAGAAGAGACCAACAGTATCCAAATTGTCACTCCTGTCTCCAAATAAAGCTGTCTTGCCCATGTTTAATTTCAATCTCTGAATTTGTTTTCAGAATTTTTTTTGGTAAACTAAAAACTAGTTTGACAAAAATAAATATCAAAAATATATTTTAAAATTTTTTAAATTATTTTTTCCATCCAAAAAAAATAAAACTACATAAAAATGATAAGTTATTTTCATTTTTTTTCATTTTTTCACAAAATTATTTTTTAATTTTTTAGAAAAAATTTCTGAAACAAGTTTCTAAAAACCAAACCAAATATAGTCAAAACTTTTATTTGGTGATTTCATTTGCACATTGTCTCTCTTATCTTAGTGATAACATGCAAATGAGATCGCCAGATAAGGGCATTATTGCCGGGGGTTGTTGAAGGTATATAACACAATCAACACATGAATAAAGATGCATAAAAATAGTAATCAATTGTGCTAAGATCAAAATCTCAACTTAAAAAATCCAGAGTTATAGATAGTTGCTGATGAAGAAGAAACAGTCTGTACCTTCAAATTCAACAGCACTCTCCCAAGCAACAACGCTGAGTACTTGGGTAGACACAATTATTTAAGTTCGCGGAAAAGCACCAAGAAAAAGTATTCCCTTCACTGAAAAAAATGAGTTGCAAGAAAACTCATAGCAGGATCAGTTTTTGGGTTTCTCATACAGTGCAGGAAAGCAAAAATGGGATTTATAGGCATCCAATGCCATTGCAAGATCTACATCAATCACACTTCATGTATGATAAATACAGCTACTATATGTGAAAATAACACATAATTCAATAGGCACAGAAAAAATAGAGAAAAGATTTCTGTTTATCCCAAAAGAAAGTAGGTGAGCAAAAGAACAATAGGCTTGAAAATTTTGTGGTTACTCCCAATTTTATATTCTTAATTTTCAATTAAGAAATCAGGTTTTTGACTATAATATGCAGTAGACAGCTCTGAGTAGACTTGCAAATAGCACGACATGTGTAATCTGGTTACAAGTAAAAAAAAAATAATTGATGAGATTAGTAATGAAATCTCAAGAAATATGATGCTATTAAGCAATCACCCCTGCAATAATGTTTCAATTGTATTTTAAGTGAGCAGCTAGGAAGTATGGATACGGTTGCGGACATGGATGCGGACATGATATACGGCGATTTTAAAATTATGGAGACACGGACATGGTTGGAACACAACAATAAAATATATTTTTACATATTTTTATTTGCTATCTAGATTAATACTACATCCACAAATAATCAACATTAACAAAAATTAACTCTAATTCTAAATTTAAGAAGAAAAAAAAAACTTTTAAATTAATACTTACAGTTTATATATTTTTTTTATAGATGATATATTAAATATTTAAACATAAAGAAAAAATAATAAGAGGATTTGGTCAAAACCCTCTCATAATAAAACTTAATGCATTAAGTACAAGCACAAAAAAAAAAAATTGAAAATTCTAACACATACCACTATTACCAAAATATTAAACTTTAAAATAATATAATTTTTTATCTAGACGTCAATTTTAATAAAATTAGTATTTTTATAATCTTCTCATCAAGATCTATCAAATAAGATCCATGTTGACTATGAAATTCTTTAAAAAAATAAATATATTTATTACCGTCGAAATTAATGTAAACAAGGGGTTTATGAAGCAAAATAAATTGAGCTATCCTTTTCACAAAATAAGGATCTAATGGAAGGGTTTTGACTAAATTTCACAAAATAATAAACACTCAACATTCATCGGAAACACTAAAGAAAATGAGAGAAAAGACAACTTGACATGTCCCTTCACTACAAAAAATTAAAGTTTTAGAGACCAAAATTTAGGGACAAAATTATTATTTAAGGACCAAATATTTTTGTAGCGAAATATCGTTATTATATTTTTATCAACAAATATTAGATATTAGTGATGAATTATTATTTTTTTGGAACCAAAATTTTTATCTCAAAAAAATAAACCATTTTGAGACTAAATTATTTTGTCCCTAAAAGTCTATTTATTAGTGACATTTTTAAAATTTTGTCGTTAAAAGCCTTGTTTTTTACTTTTCGAGACGACCTTTTGACGACTATCTTCATGACAATGGAAATTGGTCCCTAAATGTCTTTTACAACAAAATTTTCACTTGAAGAGACCAAAACCTTTGGTCTCTACAACTATTAGATGTTGTAGTGGCTAGTGTATTTCCGAAGTGTCTCCAGCGTGTCCCCTAAAAATAAATTAATACAATAAGGGGACACGTCATGTGGCATATCCCATACGGGGACAATACGTGTCCCCGCCATGTTTGTGTGTCCGATACAAATACAGAATTTATTTTAAAGTGCCGGTGCTTTATAGGTGAGTAGTTTAAGCCCAAAACACAATCAATAGTCGTTCAGTAGATCATTTAAGACAGCAATCTTGATTATTGCAAGAATATTATTGCAGAGATTCTTATCCTGGGGAGGACAGGCCTCATATTTTTCATTAAAATGTACAATTATTACTTCAAGACCAAATCTACACTAATATTTGACATAAAACTTCCCCATTACAAGACAGCCTCAAGAAGAAGAATATTAGTTAGATATTTTTGTTAACACAAGCAAAATATGGCAGTAAAACAAAGAAAGAGACACAATTGAAAGAAAAGAAAAAAAAATAAAACTCCTAAAATAATTGATGATCAGCTTATAAAACTGATAGATTGAGAGCAGCCTAGGGTAAGAGGCGCCGTCACTACGGGAAGGATCAGATGGATGCAGACAATTAGACTTTTTATAAAAAAAAAAATGAAAAACGATTAAGTACAGAATAAACTACTTAATGTCAAAGGATTAACAAATATAATACAAATACACGGTTCTCACAGACGCCAACACAAACACATGGCTGGCTCCATTACAGATAGTTACGGCTGAAAACATAAATAGGGAAATAAATAGAACTTAGTTGTCATGGGATTGATATTTTAAAATTCAACACATTTAGCAATGCTTATATATATGTCAAAACCAAATTGAAAACTACATTCAAGAAAAAAACAAAAACCAAATTTAAATTTAAATTGTACAACAACTGATCACCTCAGAGAATCAACGGCTATATTTTCTGGGAATCAAAAGCATCTGGCTGGCACCGTCGATTAGGGGACACGCCTAGAACATCAAACAAAACACGAAACCCACATAACAACCACATCAAATGAGTCGAAAATCAAATGACGAAAATTTATAGAGATCATCAACATTAGTCCCCACATCCATCCAGCACAGACAATACATATATATATATATATATATATAACAATAAAACTTGTGACCCACCTTGAGGCGGTCCACGACGGTACCTTTTCTTGATGAACAATGAAATGGCCAGTACCCACTCAACTGGGTTTTTTGTCAGCCACTGAAATGTGTTAAAGTATTGCCATTATAGTCTTTTACAGCACTAAAATAATAAGAGTGTATATCTTCTAATATACCACCCGTATTTTGACAAAAAAAGAGATTAGAGACAAAAAAAAGGATGAGGGGGTAAGAACAGGACAGTGTAAACTGTTGCTTAATTTGTGAAAATCGTACTCATCTGTATTAATTTATATTGTTTTAATTGTTAATTGTGATTTAAATTTTAAAATTTATAATCCGTTTTCGAAATCATTCCATTTCGTTATAGTTAATATATATATATTTTAATTTTTAATAAAATATTAAAGTAAAAATGAGTATGAGAAATATTTAAGATTTAAAATTTATTACAAATTAATAGTTATATATATCAAATATATTATGTAAAATTACTTTGTGCTATATATATAAAATATTATACAAATTAGTATTATATATTATTTAAATGTATGATAATTAATTTGAATATTTTTCAATCTGTCCATCCGCTAAAAACTGTTAAAATCGCAATTTGTTAATCCACTAATCCGTCAATCCATCATTTGATATGTAATTTTACTCTCAAGCTATTCGAATAAATGAGAAGTCAACAATAAAATAATAAGAGTGTATATCTCTAATATACCACCCGAATTTTGACCACTAGTGTGGTGAAAAAAAAGAGATTAGAGAAAAAAAAGATGAATGGTAAGCAGTGAAGTCATATAAATTAGAGACGCTCAATTAAAACAATCAAACATTTATCAAATAATAATAATAATAATTTTAATTGAGCATAATTAAAGGTAAAACATGATCAGTTAAAGAACAATGCTATATGTACTAATCAGTATATTAATTAGTATATCAATTGAAATTTTTTAAAATTTATTATTTGTATAATAGTGGGGTCAATAATAATATCATAATTAATATTGATACATTAGTTAGTACATTAATTGATGTATATAATATCACCGTCAATTGAAATAGAAAATGAAGAAAAATAATTTGCACTAACTACAATGGGTTCCCAGTTGGCTGCTTATTCCAGCAATCACATTCCGGCGAAAATGATGGTGGTGACTAGGTTGCGGCTGGGGGATCCGGAATTCACGCAATTTTTGACCTAATACCTTATCTCCAACATTTAGAATAACATGATCTTTGGGAGTTCTAATTTGTATCACATGTTGATTTTTTTTTTTTTTGACACCTCATTAGAGCTAATGTTAGAACTCTCTATCACCACCTTTTAGAATAAATTGTGGGTTTTGGAAGATTATTTTTATTTATTTATTTTTTTTTTTTATCTTTCATGAATCACTAGCATTGGATTTCCATTTATCTATGTTTGGCTGCTGAGAAATTTGAAGAAAATGGAAAGGAATTGCAACCGCGTTAGGGAGTGTTTGGTTGTTTGAATAAAATTTTGATTAAAAATGGAATGGATATTCAAAATGGATCTCGAATGAAATGAAATGAAACATCAACAATAATTTCCATTCTAATATTTGTGAAACTTGAGCTTAGTCCAGTGAATAGACAAACTCAAATCTTTGGAGAAAACATGCATCAATCATCAATTCAAAAAAATCGTATCCGCGGAAAATGTGGTTTTGCGTCGTGAAATCTTACTCCTTGTCGGTTATAATTTTCAAAAATAATTTTTAGATCAATTTTCATTTGTTTTTACTGAATTTATATATATTTAGGTGGATTACACTAATAGTCCTTATAGTTGGCTTGTGTCACTTTGGTCTCTGACTTTTCATTTGGCCCTGAATTTTAAATCTTGTTCTAAATAAGAATAATTGAAGATATCATTAGATTTTTCGAGGGTAAAATCGTCAAATTGATAAAATATAAACTAATTTGACAAAAATAAATGTCAAACAAATATTTTTGAATTTTTAAAAATTATTTCTACCCACTAAAAATAAAATTATGTAAAATTGATAAATCTTTTGGACATTTATTTATTTTTTTACCAAATTAATTTTTGTTATGTGTTTGGATGATGATCATCTAAAATTAATCATGTAATTTTTATTAATTTTAATCAATTTTACATAATTTATCATTGGTGGATAAAAATAATTTTAAAAAAACTAAAAAAAAAATTGATATTTATTTTTGTCAAATTAGTTTATATTTTATTAAATTGATGATTTTGCTCTTCAAATTAAACAATGGAATCTTCAATTGTCCTTATTTGGAACAAGATTCAAAATTCAGTGTCAAATGTGTCATAATTGAAAAGTTATAGATTAAAGTGACACGAGTCCCAAACTATAGGGACTGTTAATATAATTTGCCCATATATATATTAGATACATTAAGATTTGATGAATCTACAAACAAAAAAAAAACAAAACAAAACAAAACAAAAACAAAAACAAAAAACTAAAGTACAATAAAAAAAAATACTAAAAACAAATGAAAATCTTAACAAAAATGCACACAAATTTTTGTTTGAATTTTCGTTTTTTTTTAGTAATTTTTTAATATTTTTAGTCAGTTGATTTTACTTTTTAAATACATCTTGATTTGGCATCTAAAAACTACAAAAAAAAATTTATATTTTATTAAATTGATGATTTTGCTCTTCAAATTAAACAATGGAATCTTCAATTGTCCTTATTTGGAACAAGATTCAAAATTCAGTGTCAAATGTATCATAATTGAAAAGTCATAGATTAAAGTGACACGAGTCCCA